ACAGTATTTAAACTTATTTAGATAATTAACTGAACACGCAACAGTGTGTTCAGTGTGCAAGGTCTGTCGATGTCTTTATTTCCCTCCGTTCAAAATAAATCCAAACTTCTGAAACACCGTAAGGGAATCTGTGTTTCTTAGAGAATATTAATGAAATTGTAATTCATTGGCCCACAAACTATGTTTGTTCTTTGTATTAAGATACAATGACTATAGAAAAAGGTTTAACTCAATATTGAGAAGCAATATATTTTTGCACAAGGATCAACTGAAAATCTCTGTCCTTGCTGCAACCCAAATATTAAGAATTATATTGTATATCTGTGAGGATCCGTTGAGCTGACCACGTGACACCCTCTATCCGCTAAAGTTAGTACTCCACAATTTCCACGTATTCGTTGCCGTGGAAATGTCCGTTCCGATTGTAGCGGTTGTCACGGTGATGGACGTAAGATAACGCGTCACAATATATTCCAAAAGGCGAGTCTTTAGACATAATGGCATATAGACCATTTTCTAGGCAAAGACATCGAAACAGACAACGATACAACAGCAGTTGCTATGTAACAGCACGGCAAACACGCCTCAACAATACAGATAAAGTTGGAATCGGTGGTTTCTACTCGGTCCGTGTAAGATAGTTATAGGCAAGAAAATTATGGCGACCCAGTTAGTTGAAAGGTAGCACGTGAAAAGAAGACTAGGAGCGGTCTCCGTAGTCTAGAGGTAACGTTCCCACCTCATGACTCAAGGTACGCGGGTTCAAACCCGGCGGAGGTCGTCGAATTTTTAAGGGCGGAAAAATTCGGGGAACAAGTCCTCCGGGAAGGACTTTAAGCCGTGGGTCCCGTGTCGTAGCTTTACGGCACGTAAAAGAACCTCATATCTCCAAAGGAGGTCACTGAGCCAAATTACGGACGTTTCCCGCCCAACAGCAGTCTCTAATACCTCTGGTAGATGGGGGAAGCATTATAGATACTTCTCAGCTAGTAGAGCCGGTCTCGCTGGCTGGGCGGGACTGATGGTAAGCACCAGTACCGGTAGGATATAGAGACTGGTAGAAATCATAGAGGAAGCACAATGGACCAGTACAGGTCTAAGTGCATGGGGAAACCCACCCTTTCCAATAACTAACTAACTAACTAACTAACTAACTAACTAGTGTGAAATGACCGCCAGCCTGGAAGTTACTCAGTTTAGAGTAAGTTCTGCACGAGAGAATTTGAAGATAGGACCTGAGAGCGGGAAGCTGAAGAATTTCCACTGCTATAAGACGTTGTTAGGGAACGGCTGATAAGGAGAGAGCAGGCTGAGAAAAGGCTTAGCGGATGATGTAGTGATTTGTTAATTGTGGAAATTAGCGATGCCGCGGTAATTACTTGTAGTCACGAGTCGTGTGTATAAGTGTTCGTTAAATCCATTCACCAAACCATACCCCGTCTATAATCATACACATCTACAACTTGTGGAAATATCTAATTTTACACATTTCAAATTTCAGTATATTTTTATTTTAGAAACTTCATTAAAGAGCTAGTCTTTTCTCTACTTAATACTCAGACAATATTAGAACACACAGTCAATTTTTGCGAAACTAAGTACAAAAAAATATACACAATTTCTGGTATAAATTAATTTATTTCCAATAAAATCTAGCATGAGAATTACTATCGTTTATGATGTTAGGCCGTAAACTTTGTAAAAAGTCCCAATATATCTGAGAAGGGGTAAAACGTAAGCTGTATATGAAAGCTAAGATTGAAATAGAGGAAATGGATATAAAATTTATTTTTATTTGGCCAATTTGAAGCGGTGGCCTCGAAGTGAACGAGGTCAAACATTGGAGCGGCAAAGAAGTAAGGAAAAATATATTCAGACGAAGAGGAAATGAGATGACGGTCTGTCAATGCGGGCGTGAAGGCGAGTTCTAGAAACTTGCATCTACATTAAGGCAAGATGTCCAATTATTTGTCCTAACATCATTCAATAAATATAAACTGACGTTTCACCCAAACTATAATTATTAAGGATCCCTTCAACATCCTGTTCTCATGAAGAATGAAACGGAACCCTTTTCCGGGTTTTAATAAACCCTGCCCATAGACAAAGTTAAAACCAATTTTTCTGAATGATTGTAGATATAGTGCATAAAGCTTGGGGGTTTCTGACTGCACTACAACTGATGGCTTATAACAGTTTGCCTTTTTGTAAAACGTTACATATTAAATTTTCTTTTATTTTGGGGTTTTCGGGCTAATTTTCTTATTATAAAATACAGTTACTTTGTCATTATAACAATATCTGACTTCTAATCCTTCAGAACATTGAAGTGCAGTACGTCTACAGGTGGTGATTTTATTGTTGCCCTACTCTTCCCTACCCTTCTTCTGCTTTTCATTCCTTGATAAAGACAGACGTAATACATAGATATCTTTAACCCAAATCATAGAACCCATAAATTGAAGGGCTTACGCAGGCGTGGACTATTACATTCCTTGGTTGTAAGATTAATTGGTTATTTCATGTTGGAACTAGGGCTGTTACGTTGGTATGGGTGTTTCTGGTAGCATTATAACGTTGCTTGCTTGTTGTGGCTCTAGTAAGTGCTGCCCTCACTCGCTTTCCGTGTATGAATTATGTGACGTAATAAACATGGTAGCTGCAAGAGAGAGCGAAAACAACAGGAAAGAAGATGATGCATCAGGTAGTTTATTTAAGAGAACGAGGTGGGAAGTAGAGCACAGAGTTGCAATATTTCCCCAGCTTAAAAAAAAAGTATTTCAAAAGTAGGAGGCATTGTTTGCTTTACAAACAAAAAGTCACGACTGTATTCATTTGAAACAACAAAATACTGTCTTTCACCATGCAAAACTGAAATACTTAGCGTCCTTTTACATTAAAATTTACATTGTGATAATTCGCGAGAGGTTTGTACATTTGGCGATCAATTTATAACAGTCTGGAGTTTCAAATGGGACTCACTGATAGGCGGGCGACTGTAGCATGCTAACGGGATATTTATCTACCAAACTGAGGTTGTATATGAACCTAAATTATTATCTCCCTTTTCAATTTACTGAGTAGATTGGCAAATATTTAACTAAATAGCTGAGCAACTAGTTATCAAAGAAGGTAACGTATTAACTGCCTAACTAGCTAACTTAATGCAACGACCGCGAGATAAGCAAATACACCAGAGCCGTTTCATAGCAACGGCTAAGTAAATATGTTCCCGCCACAACAAACACGAAAGTAATGGTTGTACCGCAAAAGTGTAACAGTGTTTTCTGTGGTCCTCGCCGCCGCCGTTGCTACGCAACGGCTCAGTAAACTCGTCTCTGCGACAGCAAATCCAGACAAAATGATGAAGAGCTGTGATTTCTACGTGGTCCGTTCCGATGGGTTATAAGCGAGATCAGGTTTAGAGCTTAGTTAACCCCGTGTGGAGGCGGGGTCCAATATCTCCATCGTGACCCTGCGAGTCGTAAGAGGCGACGAAAAGGAAGTCTCAAATCTGAGACAGTAAGATATGGTCTCGGGTCCCAAGGGACTCAGACTCTAGAAAGACTGCACTGGCAAAGGCCAGCAGCACATACAAAAGGCAGACCCGCCCTCTCGTCAGAGAGAGCGCACCACAAAAACAAGACCGTAACTGTTAAAGGTAATAAATATCTGGTTCGACACCAAGACTTACTGACTGAGTGACCGTCAGTCGAAATATGACTTGGACTTGGAGCTTAGTTAACTGATAATCAGGCAGTGAAGAGAAGACTAGGAGGTCGGTGTGAAATGGCCGCCAGTTAGTTGCAAGAGTGCTCAATTGAAGGTCCGGCTATGTGTGATGTCTGAAGTGTGTAATTCAGTGAGACTGTTATAGTTCTTGTTTTAAAATTCGATCCCAGCAAGCGGCTAGTGGAGACTGTAACAAGCTGAGGACGCCAGCCTGCGTGTCAGTGATCTGCAAATTGCAGTCACGAGTTGTGGATATATATGTGATCAACAGATCGAGTCACCATTCAAATCCCAATCTACAGTCACTGAAAATCATGAATTTTTTAACCGAACAGATAACTGAGAAATCGATTAACGCCGGCAGGCAGGCGTCTCAAATTTCATTCTCTTCTTTGCTGTTATATATTCCTGAACACTTTTAACCACTTTGTACGGGCCACGCAGAAAACACAGCCTCTATTGTTAATGAGACGTATTTACACGTTGTCTAGCAATAGATGTCCTATTGTACAGTGAGAGATGAGTGGGGAGCATTGGCGGAATAATATCCCGTACGGGACTCCGAAACGTTCGCAGATGAATATCCCTCAATGCCATTCTACCTGCAAGTGTACTAGCGTCTTCCCCCTGTAAAATGTTCATTTTTAGAAATACGGTCAGTCAAACAGGGAAGAGGCTGTAATTGGAAATTGAATGGTAATTGAAGTGATGTGAAGTGACCTTGAAATGTTGTGAAGTTACTTTGTTTAAGTGTATTCGTAGTGATTGTGTACGTTTGCACTGTGCATAATTTTATTGCGTGTGCCTTATTTCATCACCGGATGCTGTCACCGGATGAACATCCAATTGCCGTAAATAATAATAATAATAATACGTACATTTCCCGTGGGAACGAATACGACTGTTCCGCAAGGAGTTCGACCTTCTGATTTAAGGCATACTCTTTTTTGTATATTTGTTTATAGGCATGTTATTATCTTACTGTTTTCCCCACTCTTCTCTTCGACCTTGGTTTGATAGCTGTGTTTTCATAAACGCTCCATAGCGCAAAAGCGATATACGTGCACCGCGGTCTCATTGGTACGCAATCGCTTAATTTATATCCAACGACTAATGTGGAAGCGGTCATAAATAATATATAATTATTCACGTGAGCCGCTTATTTATAAAATGCCATAATGAGTAAGCAGTTTCGGTGTACATTATATTAAGGAAGCCGAAGCACAGAACAGAAGCTTTCCCTAGTTCGTATGATATACGCAAGTTCTATCAGTAGAGAAAACTGTACACATTCCATTATAGAAGTTTCGTTTTGAGAATCAATTTGCAGCTCAGCCAGCCTTTAACCCAGGTTTCATTACCGTGTTCACAGAATTAGATCAGGATCCTATCTTGAATTAGATAAGGACAGTTACCAGTCTCACATTTTATTATTTCAAAGAAACGTTTCAATATTATCACCCATTTTGGCTTATATCTCCCAAGTAGATCCTTTCCTTTCAGGTTTAGTGTCCAAAATTTTTATATATCTCAGCTCTTCCAGGGATGAAACACGCCATTTAACTTTACCTTCCTTATGCCGATCACCTTGACATTCTACTGAATACAATTCTGCAGGGCTAATGAAAATACAAATCAGTTAGAACATTCTCAAGATTTTTTTTAGTTTCATTTCATCAACACGTGTACGGACAAATCCCCTTTCTGCGCGTTCGTATATAATCACTTAGATGACTTTCGTTTTTACACAGAGCGTAGATAAGAGCCAACATGATTAGTAATCTCCTTTACTTAAAGTATAAACAAGTAAGGACACCCATTGGCATAGAGTTCAATTTTTTTAACCAAATTATTGTTTAAACTATCTTATCATTAACTTGGGACGTTTAATAGAGCACAGAGTTTTGCTACTCACACAAGTTAGAATTCTCTTCAAAGGCGGATGTACGTACTACAGTTCTATGGGAAGTGAATAGTCATGGAGACACTCTCTTGCATATCCGTACTCGTTGGTGTTTTCGCTGTGTCCCTCGGAGCACTCTATCTTTACTCGAAGCACAGGTTCAACTACTGGAGGAAGAGAGGTGTCCTTCAACTGAAACCATCTTTTCCTTTTGGTAATTGTAGAGACCTTGTGCTGATGCGGAAATCATTTGGAGAAACATTCGCTGAACATTACAAACTGTTTGCTGGCAATGCATTTGGTGGAGCGTACATGGCACTAAGGCCAATACTGCTGATTCGAGATCCAGACATAATCAAAAATATTCTTGTTAAAGATTTTGATCATTTTCATGATCATGGATTCGACTTTGATGAGAAAATTGACCCGTTATCTGGAAACTTGTTTATGTTGACTGGGCTGAAGTGGAAAGAACTTAGAACAAAGTTGTCTCCCACGTTCACATCAGGGAAGATGAAAATGATGTTCCCGACTTTGGTTGATTGTGGAGTGGAACTACAGGAGTACCTGCAAAATTTCGCAGACAAGGACGACATGCTGGAAATGAGAGATGTACTTGCCAAGTTTTCCACTGATGTTATTGCTTCTTGTGCTTTCGGCATACAGTGTAACTGTCTCAAGAACCCAGATGCAGAATTCAGGCAGTGGGGGAAGAAAGTTCTAGAAGTATCTTTCGAAGTGATTTTAAGAAATCTGATGTATATGTTACTGCCATCTGTCGCAATTGCTCTCAAAATATCGAACACGCCTAACGACATTACAAACTTCTTCCGCACGATGGTCCACGAGACGGTCAACTTCCGAGAGAGGCATTCTGTGGAGAGAAAGGATTTCTTGCAATTGCTGATCAAACTCAAGAACAAAGAAAGCCTTGAACCCGACACTTTATCCACACAGCAGAATGAAGGTAAGTACAGTGAATTTTCGAGGCAATGAGAGAAAACCATGTTTCATATAAACAATAAGTTTACTTCCTCCCGGAGAAGTATGATTGGAAATACCATGAGTAAAAACACTTCTGGGAATTATGCATAGGTGGTCGAATTGTATTAAAAGAGAATTTAAGGAAATAGAATAGGGACTGGATTGGGCTAATTCAGGATAGGGTTCAGGGGTAGGCTTCTTCAATCTTTGATAAACTTGAGACTCCACAAAAACAGGGAATTTGTTGACCCCCCCGCCTAACCGATAATACATATTTATATGAACGGCCCTGTGCCATAGAATATATTTCATATTGTTTTTAGCCTACTTACCTTATTTCATAAAGATAGTCGCATGTTTATGAATGACCTTCGTGTTTGTTTGTCCTCACCCATAAGGTTGCTAGGCAATGGCTCGTTAAACACTGTTTGATTTGGTGTTTTCAATGCTGTCCGTGTAGTGTCAGATACTCAATATTTATTGAAAGGAAAGTAGGTAATTATTTCTTCCCTGAAATTCTTTCTTCTCCCTTTTTAGGCCACTTACGATTCGTAGTCAATTCTCAAATAATATCTTCGACATTTAGTAGGATTCCTTTGATGAGGTCACGTGGTGCCAGGTCACTAGTCAAACCGCATGAACTTGCAAATTTTGCTCACAATACTGATCAATTAATATAATGCGGCGCATGAAATTTGTGTTATCCTAGGATGTAAACACATCCACTTCTATTACGAGTAGCTACTAATCAGTTCTCATGCTGCAGAAGTTGCAGGCTTAAAACAGTTAGTACAAAATTCCGAATTTGGACATGATCCACATGGACTTTCCACTATTACAACCTGCTTCCCTTGAAGCCACATTAATACTATTCTATAGCTTCTCCTCCGCCTTTAATGAAGGCGCTTACGAATGCTTCCACACTGAAATTGTATAAGCATTTATTGTTTCCCTGAGTGCTTCATATATTCTACTCACCATATCCCCGCTGAAATGACAACCCTAACGAAATCACTGGGTTTTGGTCATGTCTTCAATTACGCGCTTAGTCATACCTATTCGGGACAAATATATTCTTGGCACCTCTCTTTGCAAAGACATTATGTTCCTATATAAATTTATGAGTCGCATTAAGTGCTGATTATTCGGAAACATAAAACGCCATTGGGGTTCCTGTCTACAGAATTTGCTGGCATGACAATGGACGAGATTGCAGCACAAGTGTTCGTTTTCTTTATCGCTGGTTTCGAGACTTCCTCGACGACCATGAGCTATTGTTTGCACGAGCTGGCACTGAACCCCGACATTCAGCAACGAATGAGGGAAGAGGTCGACAGGGTTCTGCTGAAACATGAGGGGGCCATCACGTACGAGGCAATCCAAGAGATGGAATATTTGGACAAGGCCATATCGGGTGAGACTCTTGTACTTACAGTGCATGATGAAGCCTACTGTCTTCTGGGATATAACGCCATGATTTGTCTACAGAATTTTCCGATAAACATGTCGCCTCCATGTTCAGGATCGAAGATTAAGCCAAGCTAGAAACAGGCATAAAGCTGATAGCAAGTAGAGTTTGCTACCTGCTTCAACGGACTACGCGGCGATATATCCCAGAAGATAGAACTTTTCATAACCACAGCAGTGAGAACCTCAAACCCCATGCAACATTTCTTCCTTCATCGGCGGTGTATCCTACATGCCAACTACAAAATTAAACGACAACGGCACTTCAGCTGCTAGATTTACGGAACTAACAGCTGGTAGTTAACAAAGTCCACAAATGGCACAGACCTGAGCAACTATCATTTTTTTCCATCCTCTGGACCCAGCTAGAATCCATTCTTAAAGCACTCTCTCTTTTTCAAATGGCTGTTTACTTTATACGTTGAGCCCATCACGTCACTACTAGGTGGCATTCAAAATCATCAAGTTCTCTTTTATAAAATGTCCCCAATTTCCCATCTCATTCATCCCCCATAGGTCCACACATTTCCTGAACGCTTTGATTTCAGGCACACACAACTCATATCCCTCCTTCTGAAGGACAGAAGATAAAGAATAATTCTATCTTGTGGGATAATACGGCATGTTATCTGGTATCCCAGGAGACGGAACGCTACCTTTTCACCGCTGTAAGAACCTCAAGTCCAATGTAGAAAATAAGTTTAAGTTCTCCCTTTGCTTTATGAATCAAATAACACACCATGAAGACGTATGGGGGAGTTAAAGTATAGCTCTAACATTCTTAACCTTTGGTACCAGGTGGAGGCGTGAAAGGTCAGCTCCATATCACTGCCTCTTTCTAATCACCGGTGCCCATTAGTAAGCAGGAAGGGTGGGCCCCAGAGACGATATGGACCCAGTGCAGAAAAGGAAAATCTCTTGACCTTGCCTGAATTGAACCCCAATTCCTGGGCAGCTCATCCCAGCTGCCTCAAGCTCATACAAGAGATTGGTACAACTGCTGCTTTTCTTTAAGCTTAATCTTTAGTACTTTCTAAAGCCGACGGTGATGGGACGCACTTCTCTACATTACAGAGACGCTGCGCAAGTATCCGCCAGTGCCCACCCTCAATCGGGACTGCAGCAAGGACTACCGGATACCAGGAAGTCACGTGACTGTAGAGAAAGGAACGCACATAGTCATCCCCGTGGAAGCGTTACACCACGACCCGCAATATTACCCAGAGCCTGACAAGTTCGACCCTGATAGATTCAGTGAGGAGGCAAAGACCAGCAGGCACCATTATGTATACCTGCCGTTCGGAGAGGGACCCAGGCTCTGTATAGGTAACTACTGCACCAGACGCCACATAATGACTGCTTATTGATTTATGTATTATTTATCAAATTATTTTATATTGCTAATTCTGTGTATATTTATATATCTCTCTACCGGACTGTCTGTCTGTCTGTTTTTCTGTTTGCCTACTACTTTGTATATTGCGACATGTCAAATATTGCCAGGCAACGGCTTAAGTAAACAAGTTCACGTGAAGACAGATTCTTAGTAAACAGTCCATTGCAGGATTACGCAACAATACAGGAATGTCCGAAAGCATTCTCACGGTCCAACACGCAATAATATAGGAGGCTTTATTTTCTGTGTCGTCCGCGCCGAGCAGCGGTAGGACAACGGTGTTACGCAACCCGTTTCTAAGCAACGGCTCGGTAAAGACACTTCTGTTTGGGGAGTGACGTCACGTAAGAATGGATAGAGAATACTTTTGTGTTTTTTGTGCGATCCGTGCCGCAGATATATAACGAGAATTCCAGAATAACCGGGAGAGTGACAGTTCAAGGTCAGTTACGAATCAGCCATAAGCTGGAGGAGTGAGTCAAGAAGAAAATTTAGTTCCAAGGCTCCAGAGTGATTCAAGACGAAATAGCAACACTTCATAGTGGCTTGAAGTGCTACTTTCTTTGTTGAGATCCGTTGCTAGGAGACGACTAGTGAAGACTGAGAATCTTAGTGCGTGTGGAACGGTGAACTGGAAAATGAGACAATCGGCGAAAGTGCTGTAGTAATTGTAGTTAAGAAAACTTGTTAGCAAGATGCTAATATATCTAAACATCTTAATTAGAACCCATTATTATTGTTACGCTTACTACGCTACACGTGGAAATACTTTTCGGTTCATCTATCGGTCCATCTATGTGTGTACTCATCCATTTACGAATCGCCTATTTATATACAGTTTCATAATTCATTTATTTATTTACTCGTAAAGGAAACTTCATCCTGTTCATGATAAAATAACATCGATATATTTCACTACATATTTATATATTTATTTATTTATTTATTCATTCATTACTCTCCGCTTACGGAACAGGAATTTATAAAATGAATTCTCGCGTATGTGTCAATGTGAATAAAGTCTAAGTGTACGGTTTTATACATTCATTCATATCAAGGGAAGACAGAAATAATACAATGCGTTTTGAGAGGCCGTATTTGTAGTTTGTGAATGGTGTAAGTTTATCTTGAAATAAACTGATCAGACAAGAGATGCTAACACAATTTTCAGTAACATCACGTATGGTCTGAATTCGGCGGGTGTCTTTTCAACGTGAGTAGGCGCTACAATTACGACAACCCATAATTCGTATCTGTAAGATTTTTAAGGTCAAGTCGCCATATTTGGCAATACGAAACTGCAGGAACGTCGAAAAATTTCAGCACAACGATAGAGGGATATACATACGAGAATATTAGATAAAGAAGGATGATTAGGAGCCCTTATCACACCGGAGTTCAATGATATCTTCCAGCAAATTGATACGACTGTAGAAGCATCATTCCTTGCTGACTGCAGTTACAGGTAAATAATAGAAGTGCCAGGATATATTCTGCTTCTAGTACAAACGTTTTCTAAATTCTTTCAACTCGATAGGTCTTAATGTTCATACTTTTCAGATATTAAAATCAATTATTGCTGTTCTGATTGTAGTAGAAGTGGCAAGCCGTGCAAAATTTACGGTATACGCACTTTCTCAGTTCTAGATCGTTAAATACAAAGCACATAAAGATGTTACGAAAGAAAGGATAGGTCCTAAATATATGTGCTTTAACAAATATTTACATTTCTTTTATATCAGCCTTTTCTGGAGGAAAAATAACAATTTAATTTCAAGTAAAGTAAAGAATCGACAGGAAACAAGTTTATTCTTTATCTCTTTTTATTGTACAGCTCTGATAACATCCCAAAATACATCGAGTCGTTTAAAAATATGACTGGTGAAAAATAAATTGAAAGATTTGGATGCTTGGCTTTGTGACCTAACTGAAATATGATCCTCGCATCAAGCTGAAGGGGCTGAGGAAATCCATGAAAAATCTTCATTCGGCATAGCTGATATCTCGAGAAATATTCCAACAAAACCCTCCCAAATACAAATCTAGAAGAACACGGCTAAATCGGTTTCCTTGATCACGAAGTTCACATTCGCTAGAGAAATATTTTACATTTATAAAATCTCCCCACATGAAATTTAATTGGTGTGTTGAGGTTAATTTCATAGATTAGCTTAAATATGCAGAGTGTAGTCTCTGTTATGTTGTGTGTTCATCGTATGAACGTTACACAAAGAAAGCGTGAGAAACAAGATAGTGCAGAATGACTGAAAATATAAAAACATAAACTTTCTCTCATAATTTTGCTTTCTTTCTAGGAATGCGCTTCGGGCTTATGCAGACAAAAGTGGGACTCGTCTCACTGTTATCAAAATACGAGTTCAGCGTCTGCAGCAAAACATCAATCCCCTTGAAGAAGGACCCAAAGCAGTTTATCAGCACCCCCATAGGTGGAGTCTGGCTTCAGATCAGGAACAGATCTGCCAACAGAGACCAGTGAAACCCCACGCAACCTTAATGCAGTGTAAATAATATATATATTGTGTAATAAAATATAATATATGCACTTTAATGCCCACCAAATCTTTATACTGTTCATAAAGGCATCAGTTAGTCCTCTGAAACCAAACAAACAGTCAAACGAAGAAAGTCGTCTTCTGGGATCTGGCGCCGTGTATTCTTCGTTTTAACCGACGTTTCGGAGGAACATATCACCTCCATCTTCAGGGTAGTTGAGTTGCGTGAGAATAGAGATAGCTGTAGCAGCATACAACTCAACTTCCCTGAAGAAAGAGGCGATATGTTCCTCCGAAACGTCGGTTAAAACGAAGAATACACGGCGCAAGATCCCAAAGACGACTTTCTTCATAGTCATCGCCGTGAAAACCTCAAAACACTCAAACCACTGAAACATCTGCCCTCTGATGGATCCTCAGTTTAGCCAGGGCAAGAAGCAGGCTTAAAATGGTTCTGTGCGTTTACTGCATATTATGAGTAACGCGTGATAGGGTATGAACTTTCAGCATTAAAAACAGTTTTAGTAATTTACACTTTAGTGGCTCTTGGTTAATATAACGACGGTTTATCAAATGTGTAAGTTAATAGCGGCAGGTGACAAGAGCGTTGGCATAGTGGAAAGGGTACAGGCGCAACCGGAAGTGCTGGGGATGTCTGCAGGAGCTGAGAAAACCACGAGGAACTGCGGTCACGCTTCCGGATCAGGATTCGAACAGGGGTTTCCTGAATACGAAGCAGCAGAATGTTGACTACTACCACGGAACAGTATATATTCAGTTCAGATCTGCAATGTGTTTTCGCTCCCGGACAGACACTCTGTCTTTCTTTGTTGTTATTCTCTCGTTTTATACTCTTCTTTGGGTTTTTCCTTTCCGCTATCTCCTCTTACCTCCAGTGATTTTATTCCTCTTTCTCTCATCCCTTCCTTCCCTCCTCATCCTTTATATTTATCTCCAGTTCTCATTGTTTTCCTCTTCCCCCTTTCTTCTCTTCTCTACTCTACATTCTTTTTTCACTTTTTATGTCCTCGTTTTAATCTCTTCACCTCTCCTTATTTCTTAATTTCCTGTTTCGCTTCTTGTTTTCCCTCGCCTTTCTCTCTTTCTTTCTCCCTATGTCTTTCCTGCTTCCTCTCTTAATTTCTCCAACTTTCCTTTCGTGCTCTTTTCTTCACTATCTCTTTCTCTATCCATCCTCCCCTTCTACTTCTATTTTCTCCTTCTCTTTTCTTCTCTTTCCATTCTTCTCTATTTCTTCGTCTCTTGCCTTCTTTCTGTCCATTCATTTTCCTCCCTTTCTTAATCTCTCTCTATTTCCTTCCTACTATTCTGTTTCCTCTTTCTTCCTTTCTTCCTCTCTTCTTAGTATTGAAGTTGAAAGTGCCATTGAAAAACTGAAAAGGTATAAATCACAAGAGAGTGAACGAATTCCGGCAGAACTTATTCAAGCAGGAAGCGAAACATTAAGTTATAAGATCCATAAGCCAATTACTTATATATGGCACAAGGAGAACTTGCCTGATCAGAGAAAGGAGTCTATTATTGTACCAGTTCTCAAGAATTGTGATAAAACGGACTGTAGTAATTATCAGGGGATATCACTGCTATCAATTTCATATAAAATTTTATCCAATATTCATCTCTCAAGGTTAAGTCCATACATAGATGAAATTATTGGGGATCATCAGTGTGGGTTTTGACATAACAGATCAACTACAGATCACATCTTTTGCAATTGTCAGATACTGAAGAAAAAATGGGAGTACAATGACAAGGTACATCAGTTATTCGTAGCCTTCAAGAAAGCATATGATACAGTTAGGAGGGAAGTACTGTACAATATTCTAATAGGGTTTGGGGTACCCATGAAACTAGTTAGGCTGATTAAAATGAACTTAAACGAAACGTACAGTAAAGTCCGTGTAGGTAAACATTTGTCTGATAGATTTCCTGTCCAGAATGGTCTAAAACAAGGAGATGCTTTATCGTCACTCCTTTTCAACTTTGCTTTAGAATATGCCGTTAGGGTAGTCCAGGAAAACCAGGTGGGACTGAAATTAAAAGGGACACATCAGCTGTTGGCCTATGCCGATGATGTGAATCTACTCGGTGATACTACAAATACCATAAAGAAAAACACACAAACTTTAATTGACGCAAGTAAGGAGTTTGGTCTAGAAGTAAACACAGAGAAAACTTAGTATATGTTGCTGTCTCGTCACCAAAATGCAGGGCAAAATCATGATATAACGATGGAAAACAGATGTTTTGAAAATGTGGCACAGTTCAGATATTTGGGAACGACGATAACAAATCAAAACCTGATTCAGGAGGAAATTATGAGGGGATTGAACCCGGGTAGTGCTTGCTAGGATTCAGCCCAGAGCCTTTCGTCTTCTCGTTTGCTGTCCAAAAACATAAGAATTAAAATATACAAAACTATAATTTTGCATATGGTTCTGTATGGGTGCGAAACTTGGTCTCTGATATTAAGGAAGGAACATAGACTGAGGGTGTTTGAGAACAGGGTGTTGAGGAGAATATTTGGACCGAAGAGAGATGAAGTGGCAGGAGTTTGGAGGAAACTGCATAATGAGGAGCTTCATAACTTGTACTCTTCTCCAAGTATGATTAAAATGTAGAAGCAAAGGAGGATGAGGTGGGCAGGGCATGTAGCATGAATGGTGAGAAGAGGAATGCATATAGGATATTGGTAGGAAAGCCAGAGGGAAAGAGACCACTGGGAAGACCAAGGCGTAGGTGGGTGGAAAATATTAAAATGGATCTTAGTGAAATAGGATGGGTTGGTATGGATTGGTATGGATTGGATTGATCTGACTCCGGATAGGGACCAGTGGAGGGGTCTTGTGAACACGGTAATGAACCTTCGGGTTCCATAAAATTCTGGGAAATTCTTCAGTTGCTGCAGAATTGGCGGCTCCTCAAGAAGGGCACACCTCCATAAGTAAGTATATAAGTAAGTCTTCCTCTCTTCCTCTCTTAGTTTCTATCTTTCCTTCTTTTCCTTTTTCTGCCTCCCTTTGTCCCGAAACAGAGAGGGATATAAGACAATTTGTGTTGGAACCTGCAAGCCAATAGCCAACCACGAGGTCTTCTTATACCGAAAGTCAACTCTTGTAATGTTTAAACAGCGATCCAGCCAGGCGCCTACCCCCAAGCAGGTCGAGCCTATGTATCCACCAAACAAATTACGTCACGAGATGTCAGGCGACCCAATCCGTCATGGGATCTGCTCTGTTACAGCTCCTGATGAAGACAGCGAACTACTTTCATTCTACTCCTGGAAGCAAGAAATGTACGAACATACGTAGAATCCAGTAGGAGAAATTTAGTGGGATGATGCAAGAGGGAAAGAGAGAGGAAATAAAAAATATTATCACGTCATATATGTTTCAATAGACGGGGTATTGGTTGGTGAATCGATTTATTGGCAAGTTTCACCTACGACTCAGATCTACAATTAAATTTCAGTGCCATTGCTAATCTCCATACTTACAATTCACTGCTACTAACACTTAATTTTTCTCCAGCCTGCAGTGCCTTTACTAGTAAGTTTCAGGTAACGGCTTCTAACAGTGGAGATTCTTCAGCTTCTATGCTCACGTCGTCACTGTTCGGCGAATTTCCCGCAATTGAAATTAACTCTGACGATCAACTGATTTTTTTTCCCTTTGCTTGAAACATTTTAGCACGGACCACGCCGTTTCCTATAATATTTCGATTTTTTCAATGGGAACGTGTTTACCGAGTCGTTTCCTTGAAACGGCTGTAGTATATTTGCCTATCTCGCGGTCGTTGCATAGCAGCGGACCTACACACCACAAAATGAAAGAGCTTGAACTGAGAAATACGAACGATAAAAAATAGAAAGCAGACAACAATAGTAGGAAATATAAGAATACCAAACGTTTTAATCCATGCAAAGAAACAACATAAAACCTACACATATGAGTATATGTCTCAGAACTACTGGGCTTTTAGACTTTTTCCATCGTCCGGTATCCTAAAAACTGGATAACATAACGTTTCGGAAACTAGATCTGTTTCCTTCCTTAGGTGAGGGAGTGGGAGACACCTCTTTTGGACCCCTTAGAAAGAGCTAACCACAATCACTGGACCCAGGAGAAAACAGATCCAGTTTCCGAAACGTGTTTAGTTTTCAGAATACCGGAAGACGGACAGAGTCCGCAAACCCAGTAATTCTGAGTGGTACGGACCATCATCGAAACCATTTAGACTCTGCTTATAAATATAACGTTCTGCATGTAGGGCAGTTAAGTCTTTGTAGCGTCAGACATACGTACGAGTATATCTACACCACGACTTAGTAAACAAAGTGAAAGAGTGTAAAGGGCAAAGAATATAAGGTAGGCAGGACAATGTGTAGGAAGAATAGAGAGATAAGGAAGAACTTGGGAAAGGAGATATTCAGGAAATTCTGAGAGGGAACGGACAGCAAGCGGTGAGTCCATATTCGAGAAGATGAAGACTGCTCAGCAATGCTTCTACTCCATTGGCTACAGTACTATCGACTGAGTAGGTGATTAAGTAAGAAACGGAACCTAACTTTACCATTTCTTTTACCATAGCTCAAGCGGTTAGTCGCTGGCTTCCCAACGCGGCGGCCCGGGTTCGATCCCGGGCCTGGTCAAGTGGGATTTGTGGTGGATAATGTGGCGCTGGGGCGGGTTTTCTCCGAGTACTTCGGTTTCCCCTGCCAATCTTCATTAGGAACGTGTGTATCCCTTCCCTTCCATTGCCACGTACGTCCTCATGGTGTGACGATTAATTAAACACACGGATATGTTTGCTTCTGTGCGCTTCCCATTCGTGCATTGCCTGTGCTGTAGTTTTTCGTGTTCTAACGGTGGTGCGCCTTCGTGTTATCTTTTGAGTAGTGACAGCGTGCAATACTAACTTCGAACCTGAAGATGAAGGCAGTATGTTCCTCCGAAATTATACCGAAATATAGGGAACTCAAAAGTTATCTAACTACCCTTTCAGTTCTTTCATTACTTTTGGTACTTCGGGTTAA